TACTTGTGACTGTGGCCTTTTTGGAAAAGTTAATAACCAGGTGCTGCTGTATCCATTTCAGAGTTTCTGTTCACCTTTTGCACCACCTTATTAGGTGCTGCATGTCATTCGTGTATCAGTGATGTCAGAGGCAGACAAGTTTATGAACTGTCTGCATTGTTAACCCTCTGATAAGCTCACACTGAAAAGGAAGCAAGCGTAGACTTACATTATTAGTTCTAGACTGCTTAGTCATCGAGCCCTTCGGGAGTGAATGTCCTGTCTGCCTTCAGCAGGGAAACAGACCCAGGTCTTTCCCATAAATCACCTGTCATACACTACTCACACTCACTTGCTTCTCATCAAATGAAGTCATACACTCAGACTTGGCTTGACAGTATTTTATTTGGACATTTTCTTAATTTAAAATCACTTAACATTAACTTTACAAACTCTGTATTGTCGTACAGCGTCACTGCCTCTGTCCAGGGGATTTAGATTCGGGGGAGTCAACAAAAGAGAAGGGGAGGTCATGCTCGTAGTATTAACACACCTTTGTCTGTAAATGTTAACCTTGGCTTAACAGACAGGAAACTGGAATTCAAAGTATTACAATGAGGAATTAGGAGGTTTTTTTCCTGGAATTCCAACCATTTTTGTTTTAGCAACAACATTAGTAATCTGTGCACGCACAAGAATGTGAGGTATTGTAATCCATTAGGGATCAAATGGTCTCTACACTCTTAGTTTACACTCTTGATGACTTTGTTGAGACAAAACTAACTCCAAATACTACACATACTGTCTCTCCAGCCTTGACTTGGTTAATGGTTATGTCTGTGAGTTACCAGCTGTAATGATGCAGTTGTGTAACAAAGGGAGTGTTGTGTTTTGTCAAGGCTGTGTACTTATGCTGTAAAATTGTGGTTTTTGAATGTGAAAATCAATGGCTGGGCCAAAATGGAAATTTTGCACTGACCATATATTTAGCGGGACAAAGCTGTCTCCACAACTATTCTGTGAGGTATGATTTAACAGGTCTGTTCACTGAGCTGTTTGTAGCCTTCTCTTCTCTCGACCAGCAGGGGCAGATGTAGTGAGTACATAAATGGTTTCTATTTATATAGCGCTTTTCTAGTCCTGATGACCACTGAAACGCTCTACCCCTCAGCCACCGCCCTATGAATATGAATGATTGGGTCAATTGGTAATTTTGCTGAAAACAGATGCTTTAAAATAGTGTGAGCTGTTCACTGCCCCTCCTACGGTAGTTTTATTTTATAGACCTTTGGCTGCAGTTATTGCCAAAACTTAAATTGGCATTTAGGTTTTAACTGATTAATACCAAGAACAATTTTCTCTCCATTAACATTAATGTTGACAAAGTTCTCTAAAGCAGCTGTTGCGTTTGATCAGTTTCTTCTGCTGAAAAGAAAATTACTGTTCGTTTGTGTATCCATTTTCCCACTACTATCATTAAGGCTATGTCTGTTAACATTGCAAAAGCACCAACAGCAGTACAGCCAACGAAGGCCTACAAATCAGGACAGCTGAAGACTGATATGACCTGTACTGTATTCAGCCACCAGGTGGCGATCGTGACCCTTTGGCTTCACTTTTGGGGGGCAGTCATGTCATCCATCTTTACATAGTCAAGGCTCAAACAAAGAAATGCACACTGCCGTGGTGCTCACACTACCATGGGAGATTGTGGGAGCAAACCCGGCCCTTTGCTGCATGTCTTCTCTGATCTCTTCCAATTTCATGCATACTATCCGATCAATAAATGTGAAATGCTCAAAAATATCTTTAAGAAAACACTGTAGTTTTGGTCACTAACTGTTTTTTGGTCATTAAAAAACAAGACGTTAACAATTAACACAACTTCTATATAACATACCAGGTAAAATACACTCTGCTATATTTAAGTGAAAACATGTACTGGATGTTTTTTAAAGGATGAATTTGATACCAGGCACTTACCAATGCTCTACATTTAAAAACTGGGTGGCACAGTAATGGGCATGGCTTTGCCACAGTGGCTACAGATTCCTCAGAGATTGGTGATAAGTGTTTGCAGATGCTGAAGAGACGCTGTGGCACTGAGCAAGACCAGACACTATGACATTTACACTGTCTATACGATCATGATTATGTATTTAGTATATTGAGAGAACAGCATCAAAACTTATGAGTCACAAAGGATGCAGATCACAAGTCTTTGTCTGTGGCGACTGGCAGAATGGAAAAACTGTGCATTGCATGAAACGGGACCGTGTTCTTGGCTTATCTCAGACTTGCATGTTGACCAGGTCATTTGCATTCCTCTGCACGGCCGTTATCAACAAAGTCAGTGAGTGGTCCACCGTGGTTGTTTTCTCCTGAAACGTGTGTTGTGGTATCGGCCACAGATAACGTAAGCCTGTGGAGCCTGTATCTGAAGTGGTCAATCAAAGTTGTGGGGCTAAGCTGCTGCTGGATTCAAGTGCATGTTCAAGTTTGATGTTGTCACTTACCAGCAGCAAATCGTATCCACAGTCCACATTGTGCTGTTCCAACCCCTCCCCTTTTATTTGGCATGGACTTTAGTTTGCAGCACAGCAGCGGTATTATAGAAAGATAAGGGTGGGAGGAAGGAGGAAGGAGGAAGGGAGTTTCACATGCCAGACAGGGGGGAAACTCAAAACCATCAGTAAAGACAGAAGTGACAAAGGATATGAAAGCCTCATTCAAATTCATAGTGGTGTAGTGAGGGTAATAGCTTCCCATTACACTCCAGATCAACCCTATGATTTGTCACAGAGCGTAAACAGAGTTTTCTCAAGTGGTCAGCTCCTGGTTGCCAACTCATCCTTTACTCCCTGTGAGGTTTTGCATGGGAACTGTGTTGTTGGAGCAGCCGTGGAACAAGTAGTGCAGGGAGAACAAGACTCTCGTGAGTTCAGCCCATGGAAAGTTTGAGGAAGCCAAGAGGTGTGTGTCTGTGTGTGTTTGAAAAAGGCAATTTGATTCTTCATGTAAAACCTTTTAACTAGCTGAACCTCACACTTTTCTCAAGAATTTACATATGTGATATTTAGCTTTTATTATGCCTTTATTCCTACGAAAGTTGTAAAAGGATGTATTGTATGTTGTATGTTTATTAAAGCAACACCATGTAACTTTTACCGAGGGCCCTCTTCAGCCACACATAGTTATTACTGTTTGAGCTGTTAAGTGGTTTTCATGTAGAGATAAAACAAAGCCTATCAATGTGTTGAGCTGAACTGAAACACAACGGAATGGTGGATATCATCCATGATCCCCGGCTTTCTGAACCAGAAGTGCTATGACTGTAACAAATGCACCAAACTCTGTATAGAATTGTTGATATTTTAAAGTTTCCTCACTGAATATTGGAGATAAACACTGTTTTTTAATGACTTTTAAACTGATCTACAGTTCAGCATTACACTTGAACTTTCTGGAGCAGATTCTGGTCATCTAAGCTGCTGCTATCAGTCCGTTCCACACTTCTTCTCACAAGAGATCGTACCAGCTCACACAAGTTACATAAAGCAACGACATGTGTTCAGGGTGTGGATGGGGAATGAAAGCAGCACCAATCTCTCTTTCCAGGTCGATATATCCTTAAACTAATTTTGAAGCTGATAGTTCAACGAGTCATCAATCAGTCGATGGTCGCCCCTTGTTTGACAAAATACCTTTTGACAGCTTCAGGTTTTCATTATGAGCTGTCAACACTGGTGGATTTCAGGCTTGTGACATGATCTACATCTGTTGGCTATCAACATGGAATTATGCTTTTCATCTCCACTTAGCAGTAGCACTTACTGGAATGATGTAACTTTATATTTAGCTTAACGATGGTTTGTACCTTGTTAATTCCTATTTATTAGTCTGTAATTAAATTTCATGACAAAGCCCCATCTCTTCAGCTTGGTAAAATGGTTTTGACCCCTTTGCCCTGCAAATATTTAAGGAAATAGAACTCTCTGTTCAGTGGGCACTCAGTGCCCCATTCTCACACAGCAACATGGTTTCTTATATTTAGGAAACGTTTGTGGGGAAAATTCCCCATCTGGTCAGGAAGGAAGTGAAACTGAATATGGATTCCATTTCTCTTAAACTCAGAAGGAGCTCAATGAAGGCATATAAACAAAGCTCTGGGTGCCTCACTCCAATTTTTTTTCTTCCCATTAGTTTTCCCTCTCTGTTTTTCCAAAGCCCAGCCTTCACCAGTCAAAAGAACAAGAGGAAATGGCTGGGTTTTCCATAGAATATGCTGCGTTGCAATTAGGCCATGTCAGTAATGATTTGAGCTGAGGCTTTTACTGTAAACCACTCCTCTGTGTCTCAGCCTGGGAGAATAAACACAAAGCTCAGAGCTGTCTTTTATTGATGCTGGTCAATGTAGCTAGAGCGTTTGCAGAATTATATTCTTCTGGATTGGTGCCTCGTCAGTGTCTTAATGCAATCATGCCTTGCTGGTATGTGTGCACTTGGTGAGAGAAGACAACTATAAAGACAATTCACAAAGTATGTCTGGATAGTAACAGCATTGTAGAAAAAGTACATTCATGTTTACTGTATTTTTGCATCTGTTAAAGAAGGATAAAAAAACAAAAAGTAAAATGAAGAAGCTTTGTAGGAAAACACCAGTATATCGCCCCAATTATTCTCTGATAGCCCAGGAAACTGCAAGGTAGAGGAAACAACAAATATCATAAAGATGTTCTCAAATTAAAATATTTAGTGCAACAGTCGCTCATTGGAAAAGACAGGTAACATGGCAAGTATGCATATGTGGCATTGATTGAAAAGAGCAGACATAGCGCATTTTCTCCAGTAAAAGGTATTCTTGTTTTATGTATGAAGCACTTACCTTCTGCAATTAGCCATGAGTTTAGTAGATTGAAGTGTCTCCAGATAGATGGAGACAGATATCCATTTCTGTTTCACTGACTACAGTGTCTCTCAAATTCTGACGCCTCTGCCTTTGTTTCTTTCTCCTGTCCCAGAATCCACTCAGTTGTCCTCGCCTCTCCTCACCAGTAATCATGACCAGGCAAACATGGACTTGGGGCCAGACTATTACAGCCGACTTTGTGCGGAGCCACTGGATGGAGAGGGTGAACGTCCAGTGAGCCTGGTGTCAACCCTGTCCTCTGACTCATCCCGTGACAGTCGCAGCCTCTTCGGAAGCACCATCGCAATACCTTCCTCCACCACCCCACCCATACCGTGCGGGGAGGACATAGACTTGGAGCTCAGCCCAGCCAAAGGTAACGGCCAACAGGCTGGAGACCAGAGTCCCACCCTCATAAGCTCCAGGGGTCGCTGGCAGGAACAGCTGGAGCCCCGGGTGATCAGCAACCAGTGGAACAACAACAACGCTGCCTCCAACAGGAAGGTGAGCGCTGAAATACCTCACATCACTGCCTCGCCTGTCGTCACGGACGCCATGGCGCCCAACCCGAAACTGACCTACGTGGACCGTGTGGTCATGGAGATCATTGAGTCAGAACGCATGTACGTCAAGGACCTGCGCAGCATTGTGGAGGTGAGTGGATGTCAGGGATACGCTGACTGCACTCAAATTGGATTTTCTTTCAGCCAAGTTCACTGTGAGCCACTGGTTGATATTGTAGAATGTAAATTATCAGTATTCAGTTTATTTGAAGCACATGTTTTCCTAAAATGAATGTACAGCTGCGACTCAGTGTCTGCAGAACTCTTTGGGGGTGACTTGCTGAATTTGTACAGCCTGCAGCCAAAATATGGGGAATTGGGCTCAACAGCAGTTGAGAGCAAATTATGTGTAGTCGGTTTGTGGCCAAAAAATTTGTCTGGGTGTTGTAAAACATCCATTTTTCTTTTTCCTTTTATTACCAGGATATATCCTGATTCTGTGCTTTCTAAATTAATTGGGCGATTGACAAAAATATATGTCTGACATCTGACAATTGTGTGTTTTGTTTATAGATTTTTAAGGCTGTGGAGTTTATTATCTTGTCATAGTGATTTGTATAAAGCACTCTGTATATTTACAGTGCAGTGAAAATTTACAGCCTGTAGCCCACAGAGCGTGCTCATATCTGGAGTTCAAACACAGTCAAAACTGGGACACAGTGCAGGTCTTTCATGGCAGGAAACCTGGGCTCTATGATCTTCGTCAGAGATAGAAGAAACCTCATTTCAGACATGTGACCCATGGAAAATGGGCCAGGAATGATTTTACTACTCAACAAACTTATCTCTTATCACTTTTTTCACTTTTTGCAGTCTGGAAACAACTTCCAGATGAAGAAACCTCCCCAGCTTTCACTCTTCCGTGTTCTTTTACAGAAACAGGAGCGCACTGCTGTCAAACAGTCTCTGATGGTAATGTCTTTAACACGTTAAGCATTTCACAGGCTGACTCGCAGTAAACCAGCTCGCACCTCTCCTCACCTTGTCTCCGACTGTGCTGGCGTCTAGCAGTTGCAGGGGCGGGGGGTTCTGGCTCGTCGGGGCTTGATTAATGACTTGCTTCGGACAAACACTTCCACTGCTTTAAACTATTTCAGCTGACGGGAGCAGCAGCCCCTGCCTGGTCTGGCCCCGCTCACTCAGACCCTGCAGCGAGCTCCGGCCCAGATTTAGCTCTCAGGAGCTCTCAGCCAACACAAACACCTCCATCTTTGCACCAAATGGAGAATAACATAAATGAAAGCGGAGCAAGCGGTTTTTCCATAGACTACAGTGTGGGAACAGTGTCCAGCACAGATACAGTATGGCTTCAGTCAAATAGATTCCATGCAGCTCATTTTAATTTCACACTGAGCCTTGAATCTGACAGAGATGTGTGAAACTCGTTCCCTCATCTTGGAATTGTTATTTCAGCAAACTATTGTAATTCAAAGCTTCCCCTTGATATTGACACTGAAGACTGAAACAGCTGCTGAAGCTGTGTCCACTCTGCCGTCAAATCCAGTGAATCACTCTCTCTGAAGTCTCTCTCTCTTTACTGTCTATCCATAGAATAAGGTTTAGAGAACAGCTGTTTGACCCAGCTGGTCTCACATGTCTAAATACAACCTCAGCACCTGGCCCGGACACACCCAGAAGAATTGTTCAAAAAGAATGTGAATCATGCTATTGGGTTTCAGAAAAAAAAGCCAGTCCAACATATTGCTCCTCTTTTTTATTTTTTCTACTTTAGTCTTTGTTGCCTTATTCATATATACAGATGGAAAAAAAAGTAAAAACTAAATTGAAAACTGTAATGTGTAACTGTAGAGAGGGTTTACATTTACACAAGTTGTTTGCGAACAAAGTTTTTCCAATTTAATATTCTGTGGCTCAGAGAGAAAGCGGGACATCAACTGAATAGAAGGTCATGCAGTTTGATCCCAGTCTTCCCTATTCCAGCGTGCCATAGTGTCCTTGGGCAAGGTATCGAATCCCAAATTGGCTCTGATGGCTGTGTGGTTGGTGTGTTGTAGAGAAGAGTCTTCAACACTAGAAAAGCATTACGTAGATAGAGACCATTTACCATTTAAACTGTATTTATTTATTTATTAATTAGATGAATCTTTGATTTGACTAATTGGTCCCACAAAAGTCCTTCACTGTCAAGACTGGCGTTCTGATTCTTTAAGCTTGTCGCACTATAAGCCGGAAGACTCCAAACATAGCATTAAATCTCTCATGCTATGCTAAAGGTCATGTGTGTATGGTGTAACAACCATAGGAGACTATGAGGCGCCCTGCTGACTGCAAGTCAGCATTGCTCCAGCTGCAGTGAAATTCTCCATCCATGACCGGCTGCAGTTCATTCAGTCAGTGCGATGTGATGACTCTCCTCTTAATCTGGGCTGCCTGGCATGCTCATTAAGTGTGTGTGTTATTGTGTGTGCGTGTGTGTATTTGCACCACATCTTCTGGGAGCATGGGTGTGTGTACAAGCTGTTTACTGGTAGATTCTTTATACAGTCGCTGAGTTCATATGGGGCTTTCTCTTGTCCTTTACTCCTGCACTTGTTTGTTGTGGTTTGTGTGGCACATGAGTGCACAGTGGACGGAGAGACAGGGCAACCATCCAGATGTAGGAATATTTGTGGTTTTAGATATTTTTATCCACCTCTGAATAGATCCGTGGGGAGCAGCATCCTGGCAGGGGAACGGGCTGTGCTGCTGTTTATGGTCAAGGTACAATGGTGCCTCCTCCAGACAGTCACATAGGCCCCCAGTCACTGGAACAAATCCTTAAAAGGATCCTTTAAACTCACGTAGCTGTGAATAAATCAACCTACATCTTTCACGTTAAAACCTTATGACCATGACATCAGACCTAGAATGGTATAAATCCTCTGCACAAACCTAATGTTGTGAGAAAAGTGACCATTCATTACAGAGGATTTACTGGATGAACGTTTAAAGGAGAAAAGTGTCTCTCTTTATGCATGCTCCCTCTGCAGGTAGGAATCCACAAGTGCCTGAATGATAGTAAACCATATTGAGTAATAGAATGAATTGTATTTTCTGTTTTTCCAGGACTATTTGGCTCACATCATCGACATGAGCAACCTTCCCATACGACCAGAGCAAGTGTGTGCCCTGTTTGGGAACATAGAGGACATCTATGAGTTCAACAGGTACGTCATCGCCCCAGGTGCAACCTCACCAACCAGCATAATGTCTAGATATTTTTGTTTTGTAGCTTACATCTTAAAAAGTACATAGATATGTACATGATGCATAACCACTGATGACTACGGCAGAGCAGAGGGGACTGGGATCAGTTACTTCCTTGTACTTTTTTCCTTTCCATGCACTTTGATGTGTATGTACTCTGGTATTCTCATATTCGAGATAATATGAGGAATGTGGAGAATTCATGACGCCTAACTCCTTTTCTCTCACTCGCTGCTTGTGTTTCATTCAGTGAGTCAAAGCAGAGGCAGGGAGGAGCAATGGGGCAACACTCTCCACAGTAAACACACTGGTGAAATGGTTGCAGCTTGTTTTACATTCAATCATCTTACGTCAGCAAGTGCTCACTGCTGACCGTGCCGCTTGATAGAACAACACATTAACATTCCTCTGGTAATGTCAAGGCTATTGTACAGTACAAACCACTAATGAGGTCGATTTGAATCTTTTTCTTTTTTTTTTATGAAATTGAAGTCAGCTGTACAAGAGAGATTTGGGATGCAAGGGGGCATGCATTGTGGTTTTCAGAGAGACAATGCTTTTCTTTTGTGTCACATTGCACTGAGAGGCTTTGTCATCTTTGAGTTAGCAATTCAGACAGCGATACCGGCTTTTATTGTGGATACAGTTTCAGAGGAGAGATGTCTGTCCTTGCCTGTGAATAACATAAGTGTGTCATAAATAACAAACCCAGTCACCTGATTTACTCACCATCGCAGGGATAGTGTAAACCATCCATACTGCAGGTGTTGTACTTACAGTGAAGTTTGCAGAATTACTTTGCTGTAATTCAAACCCCTGCAGCCCCAAGAGCTCTTGATACCCACTAAACTCACATTTATCAACAAATGTCATTTCTGTGACGCCAGCATTTTTTTCTTTGTGACCTAAGTAAATCATGCAGTGTGAACAAATATTGACTTTGTTTCTGAAACATACCTCAACATCAGTGCTTTCTTTTCTTGTATTATGAACATGTCGGCATATTTCCTTGTAATTGCTTACAGATAAAGCACAAAGTCTTTGATTAAATTGATGGATTTCAGTGTGATGAATTGTGTTTGATTATTTTGATTATGTCCACCGAGGCCCTGTTTTTTTTTGTATTGTAATTTTCCCACAGTGACCTAGTTGTGCACATTTTATTGAGGTGATGTCACACCAAGTAAATCCTTAATAAACCATACAACTGTCAGGTTTTCAGAATACATCTTGTTTTTTATGGCACCTTCACAGAGGAGAATTTCAGGTCAAATACTCATTCTTGCAAGTCTGAACATGAAACAAGGTTATTGTTTAACAGTGTATGACGCCCTCTAGTGGCATTATTACTTAACTAATGTCAAATCTCACTCACTAGAAAAATAAAGGAACAGCCACTAATCATTATTTCTTCCTCCTTTGTGGTTTACGTCTGCTTTTCTACACATAGATATTAGGTTAACGTGAACTCCCTGTTGTTCTGTTCTGCTTTTCAGTGAACTGCTGCAGTCTTTGGATATGTGTGAGAACGACCCTGTGGCCATAGCTAGATGCTTTGTAGATAAGGTCAGTATATCTTCCTCGTAACATTACAGTTAAATTATTTTTAGTCTACTTAAAAAGATATGTTGTTATTTATTTTATGTTACCTAATTACAAAGTTAAGATGGAAAGTGTTTACATGAAATAAATAGTTGTCAAAGTGTTCTTCTGCTTTGTGTTTCCTCAGAGTGAATACTTTGAAATTTATACCCAGTATTGCACCAACTATCCCAAGTAAGTAGCTAGAAAATATCAGTTTAAATAATCCTGTGACACATAAATGTAATCATCTTCTGCTCTCTAGCTCTGTGGCAGCACTGACTGACTGCATGAGGAGTAAAACCTTAGCCAAGTTCTTCAGGGATCGACAAGCTGCTCTGAGGCGCTCACTCCCTTTGGGCTCCTTCCTGCTCAAGCCAGTTCAGAGGATCCTGAAATACCATCTGCTGCTGCAGGTACACAACATTCTCCTTGGTCACACTGCTTTAACATAACTTTTCCTCAGTATGTCACCTGCAGGCCTCAGATTTATAATACTGTTATTTAGAAGTATTAGAGAAGTCCACAGCCCTGATGCATGATGATGAAACAATGTTATTTTATAACTGCACCCTGAAAAATGCCTGAGAGTGTTTATCAATACAGCCAAAGAGTGATTGTCTCCTTTTCCACTCCTTTAATTTGATTAATATCTAAGGCCCCAGAGGTGAAAAGCCATTTAGTATTTTCAAAGCTAAATAGGTAAATAGATTGATATGGATTCACATTTCTCTTTGTTTGGGAAGAGATTCAATTAGTTCCATGTGGCGTCACCCTCCTGTCAGAAGTCATAACTGTCCCTGATCTCTTCTAAAGGAAATTGTGAAACACTTTGACCCAGACGAGGAGGGCTATGAGGTGGTTCAGGAGGCCATCGACACCATGACCGGAGTGGCCTGGTACATCAATGATATGAAGAGGAAACATGAACATGCTGTCAGAGTGCAGGTCAGATCCCCACACATGCATTCAAACATCATTTTAAAAGGTCTATATACGTCATTGTCAAGAAGTACTCACACACTGTCCACTACATATTCAGTCAAGAGGAATTTAAGAAGATGTCGATACTTTAGAGATTTTCTGGTTCCCTTTGCCAAGCAGGCTATATTTTCTTCTTTTCTTAAATTTTTTTTTTAACATTGCAACAATGGTTATTTATCAGTTTTTTTAGGGAATAATGCACAGAAATACCAGCTAATATTTAGGTCTGTGTAGAATTTGATATAAATCTGAATAATAATGTGAATCCATTTCTATTGAGGGCTAATCTGTTTTTCTGCCACTGTACATTACCACTAAAGTAAAGCTGAGATAATGTGGATTCAGGAAGTAAACAAACAAATATGACCTATCTGTGTTGCTGTATGTGTTGCTGTATAATACGGTGTTCACTTTATTTCAATTGAGCAAAGACATGTAGTGAAGAAGAAAATATATGTAACAGGTTTTCATGGCCTCTTTGACTAAATTGCCAAATATTCAAAGAATCCACATCATCAGCTTTGAAAATAAATATTTTTCCAAACTAAATTATGAAATTATTATTGTCACTCTTTCTGAAACATTTTTGTTTTGAAATATAATTTATTCACTGATTTATTACATTAGATATCTGCCTTAATTCTTTTTCAATCTCTTGCACATACAATATACACATATTCTAAAAATCCAAATCTTCAGCCATATGTTCTCTAAAGCAAACCCATGAACCTTCACACACTGATATCAATGTATACACCTGAAGCCTTCACATTTAGTGTAATAGTGAGGGTTACAGATTTCTAATGATATCCTTGGTGTGATATGTTGACCTAGTAGCAGCTTCAGTTTTCTTTGTACTGTGTTTTTTATAAGGATCACAGATAAAAGCATTTATATTCTTTCATGCTGAGGAAGATGGCTAAAAGTGTGTGTGTGTATTTTTCATCTGCAGGAGATACAGTCTCTTCTGATCAACTGGAAGGGTCCTGACCTGACCACCTATGGAGAGCTGGTGCTGGAGGGCACGTTTCATGTGCTGAGGGCGAAGAACACCCGCACACTCTTCCTTTTCGAAAAGATGCTCCTCATTACCAAGAAACGAGGGGAACACTATGTCTATAAGACCCACATCTTGGTATGGTTTATTTTTCACTCATTAATGAGTACTTTACTTCAGAAAGGTAGATGAATGGTGATATAACGATTGAACAGAAAGTCAAATAACATCATATCTTGCATTCAACAACTTAAGATATATGTCATAAAGACGAATTCTTTAATGTAGCAGATTAAGTTAACTGAAGCCTCAGTTTCATCTGTTTTATTGTGGTTGCAGTGCTCCACCCTAATGCTACTTGACAGTGCCAAGGATCCCCTGCTCTTCAGTGTCATCCATTTCAAGCATCCTAAGCAGCCACATACAGTGCAGGTAAATGTCGATCGCCAGTAACTGTCAACAACTGCAGTTTAATCATCTGTTCAGAATGATCAGAAAACAACCAGTGGCCTGATTAAAAATAAGAGTTTGATGTTTCATTCATGGATCTTAAAAATGTTTACGTTTTATGAGTGTTTGCAGTTGCATGCAGATCCAGATAAAAACCTGGATCTAGTGAATTTAAATGTGTGTTTTCATAAGGGGAGGTATACACTGAGTGCCGTTCTATTTGTTCATCTGAAGAATTACTTTCTAAATGACAAGTGCTTGTTGTTTCAGGCCAAGTCAGTAGAGGAGAAGCGTCTCTGGGCTCATCACATTAAGAGGCTCATTCTTGAGAACCACAACACCATCATCCCCCAAAAGGTTAAAAAAACCACGTTGTCCCTCAAATGATGTCCTTTCTCCTCAGATACTAAAGATCTGCCTTTTATCATATCACACTGTCTCTTTCTTTAAAGGCAAAAGATGCCATCCTGGACAACTCAAACTGTAAGTGTCACAAATATGGTAACATTAGCCATGCACAAACCTCTTTAACAGTATCCATGGCAACAGAAGATGCTGCTTGACAAAAAAAGAGGGTGGTTCATTTTGAGTGGTAAATATATATTGCTGTTTATTTCACCAGGAAGGCGTAGCCCAGAACACATCCAACTATGGGGAGAAAATTGTTTTTGTAATTGCAGAAGTGTAATGACGTATTTCTCTACTGTGCAGATCTAGGAAAGTACCAATACAGCCCTGAGAGGCTGAATAAAGCAGAGTCCTGCCAGGTGGAAGACTTTCATCACGATGGACGAAAGGGGCGAAGGAGATCAGGTAAAAGATTCTCACCCCATCTTGTAGCCATAAAGTCCCTCACAAACATTCCTTCCTCTATCTGTTCAATAGTTAGAACTGAGTAAAATTGAAAGTATACTTTTGTTACTCATTAATTGTCACCTAAACCTTTAGTTTTTCAATTTTTCCCCTTTTAGAGCCTGCAAAACAAATCACAAGGAGCACAAAAGGTTGGTACATGGTGGGGTTCGGTGGATGTTCTTTCTCAGTTTCAGGATTTTGGGAGACAAATGGGCAGATTTAGGCAACATCCATGTTACTCATTTGTTTAAAAAACGATCTCTTTTCTTACTTTAAATCCCCATCACTACTAACGTGCCTGAAAATACATATCATGTGACCGCTCACGTACACTGGGCCTACACGTGCTGTTGTACACAGGAAAGGCTCAAATAGTTGCTCATCTCCTGCACATGCAACAAGTTGGACTGTGCAGAATTTAACAGCTGTTAGCAAAGACAACAGCAATGCTTCTAATTTATTATCCATGTTGCATTCTACACTGGGAGGCCCATGCTGGTTGTTTTCTGTCTGACGAATAAGGGAAGGCTAGGTTGTGCCCGAAAAGACCCAATCAGCAAGCAGTCGTCAGTGTCTACATCATAATTTCTTAACTCTGTCTCATGTCCAGACTAAAATGCAGCCCCAAAGTTTTCAAAAATAAATGAGGCCAGCAGCGTTTACAAACTTCTCCATTTCAGCAACTCTAAACTAGTAGTAGTGTGATGGATGTAAACTTATTAACCTGCGTTCAGCTGGATCCTCGTTCTGGGTGCTATCCAGTGGACCTTAGCCTCCTAACTGAGGTTATTTTATGTCTCAGTTAAAAAAAGAGCTTTTTTCATCTCCATTGTGCTTTTGCTTTGTTCTCCCACAAAGACACCTGGAGAACAGATCAAAAGACACACACACTCGCTCCAACTCCCCCACTCCCCTGGCCTCACCCATAATGAAGTTAATTATATTGCACATCGGCCCAAGGCTTTGTCATACACAAGCTCTTTTCAATAGTCCGACTCGGCCTCAGCCTCAGATCTGCGCGTCTGCTCATCTTTTATAATTGGCCTTTATGAAAGAGAAAACCTCTGTATTCCTTGTCCCCAGTTCTTCTCTGCTCCCAGACCAGATCAATTTTTGGAATCAGTGTAATGAAGAAACAATGTCCACATCAACCTTCCATATCGGTGAGGGAGTGGCTCATCACATCCTGGCTAATTGAATCATGTCCAGTCTAAGCCACTGAGATGAAGATGTTTCTAATTGGTATTTATCTAATCACAAGACCTCCCTTAAGTCTGGGCCAGAGTCACAACCCCCTCACTCCCTCTCTACTTTTAGAGCTTGTTTAAGACTCATATGGTATTCAGGTTATTCAGTCCTATGATATTCTGACTTTTTCATTTCGAGTTATTGACATTCTCATTTGTTTATCTCTCCCCCTCTTTTTTATCTTTGTTCTCCATGAAGCTGTGCTGAAGGTAAGCGTCTGAAATCCAAATGTTGTCTTTTATTGAACCCTGATAAGCTTTTTTTATTCTGTTGTAGCACGACAATTTAAGTCGGTGTGCTGTGGTGAGATATGGTTTATCCAGATTTGTAACCAAAACATTTGAAAGCGCAAACATAATCTGCACAGAACATAGTTTGTCTTGGCCTAAAGAAAAACAAATCATATCACCCAAAGCTAAAACAGCTTTATGATGATTCTGTCCCATTTACAACTCTTTGTAATCACAAACATGGCTCCAGCACTGGCCTTGCAATAACAAACCACATGTCTTTGACTTCACGCTACAGCATGCAGACAGTGAGGGTGCACTGCTGGGGGATAGGAACTCCCTTCAGCCAGCCACTAGTGTCAGTACGCTGGCCTCCAGTCTCGGCGAGCCTCAGGCTGAGAGGCCATGTGTGGACGATCTGATCCCCAGAAGGGACTCTCTGGAGCAGCTAAGTCCCACTGACAGTGGCCTGAAACTGGGCTCTTCACGCAGTGAGGGGGGTCTGGAGCTGCAGAAGGCAGAGGAGGATGAGGAGGAGGGGGAGAGTTACAAGGAAGATATACTTATGGGAGATGACCAGGTAGCCGACTTTGCCAACTCAGTGCTGGCAGCCATCTCCTGCTGGCACTTTAGAGCCAGGGCTTTGCTTTCTACTCACTTCACAACGGTGAGGGTTTCTGCCACCCACGGGTTTCCCTTTTTTGTCCTCCATTCCACCGGCTTACCAATACTCCACTCTTTCTCCCACGCTCGCTCACATCCGTCTCATTTCTACATCACAAAAACAACCAACTAACACCTGCTACCATTTGCACTGTGCACATTAATACCTCTTGTCAAATCTATGTTGAAGTGCATGGAATTTCCTAATCTGCTTTAAAAAGGAATGGGTGCAACTTAACTTGGTGCATGTCTTTGCTTGTGGAACTGAAGGTTGCCCCTCTGTGCATGCACTGTACTCCTGTGTCTGGCCTCCTCATCTGTGTAGTTCCAGTAATTGTGTGCCTTGTTTCATAATTGTGTCTTTAGGACATGATTGATGTTGATGCTCATGCTGTTGAAACCATTGCCTGCATTTGCATTAAAACCAGTGGCGCCCTGTTGAATGTAATTTGACTTCAAAGGTTAATGTTGCCATCTAATGAAATGATTATTATTATGAGCTTTGATCTTTGATAATCATATTTCCCCTTTCCCCCTTCTTTGTTGATGTCAATTATTATACCAGTATTTATTCTGATCATGTTAGTTCAATTTAAACCATTTTTCTTTAGTGGCTGCTTTAAACATTAAATGTTAGTGTGTTTGTTGTGTTTCTACATCTTTTAATGCTCAAAGGACGATCACGACAGATTTGTGACTGAAGTGAAAGCTGAGACAGAAACTGAAAGGCAGGAGGAGGAAAACGTGGACGAGGCGATGAAAGAAGCCCTCACTACACAGGTAGTTAATAAAGCCGTCCGCAATTACTGTCCACACATCCATTCAGCATCATTTCCACACGTGTCTCTGAGGTCAGATGTAACACTCATGTGCATTCACTGTGTTAAATTATGCCTATCTATCCTCATACCCTCAGTACAGCTAATTATGTTGTAAGGGTTTAGACTATTGTCTATTTACTATGACATTAATCTTTCATCTTTTATTTTCTATTTTAATTATGCCTGGAGCCACAATAGTAGCCATGTATGTTTGTATTCATGTAAATTAAAAGGACACACACCTAACCCTAATCCTAAAACCAAATCTTAACCCTCAAACATCCCTTATGAAAAAAATAAAATGTCCTCACTGCAAAGGGTCCTAGCTCAAAATTTTCCTCTAAAAGACATATGTACACACACACACATGCACACACACACACACACACACCGCTGCTCTGTGGTCAACATTGGATTTGGAGGCCAGGTGCTGCTCTTACATGATTCTCTGCATCTGAACAGAGTAGAGTTTGTAATTCCCTTCTAACCTTATCTCCACCACACAGCCCAAGCTGCACTTTTAGCAATTGCAGGCACTCCACACGAGCAGGCAACAACTGGAAACACATTTAGATTAATGGCCGACAAGGGCAACATCAGCACAGTGAACGCTGTCGGGTGGGCTAATATCACAGACGCTGTTAGGGCCGCACATCACCGTGCTTGCCATTAAACTCTCCAAGGGCGACCTAAATGGTGCAGCAAGGAGGTGTTAGCAGCCAGAATTTAAATGCAGTCACAGTGTCATTGCAATTTTTACCACACAGACATGTTGTACATAGAAAAAGGTTACTGTAATAAAACTCTAGTGGGTCCCAAAGGATAAAACACATGCATCGTAAATTATGGATGCTGTGGATTGAACTGTTTGGTTGACTTTGAAAAGGCCCATTATGTTTATAGAGATTGGAGAGTGCTCGCTGTCATTATGTCTTTTTTTTGCTCATTACTTGCTACTTTGTAAACGCTCCTATTGTGTTTAAGGTCAACATGGAGGAGTTTTGCCCTCAAGACTGTGCCCCTCAAGAGAAGAGGAGGGATCAGCCAGAGGTGCAGCACTCTCAGTGTCCCGAATCTCCTGCGTGCCCCCCTCAAAAAGACAATGACACCCTAGAAACTCAGGATACTTCAGGAGAAACCGGAGAGGAAGAAGAAGGAGGAAGCGATTCCTCTGGTCTCCAAGTGGAGGAGACAAGTGTACTGACAAACGGGGAGCTCTCAGAGGAGGAGGAGGACGTGTTGGACCGTAAAAGCATCCTTCCCTCATCTGTGTTGGACCAGGCGAGCGTGATAGCCGAGCGATTCATCCGCAGCTTGTCCAGACGAAGCAGCCTGGTGTCAGAGGACCTGGGTTCCCTCGCCTGTCCCTCACCTCCAGCAGAAAACGACGTCTTCCAAAGCCCCTCTGCCTGCATGGACTTGGAGGAACGGACGCAAATGTTGGAGAGCTCAACCCTGGAGCCTCATGCGACCTCAGAGGTCAATCTGTTGACGCCTGCACATAACCCTGCACTGGACATCCTCATCGAAGGAGAACGGAGATCCACACTTTCCAAACAAGATCGTCTCCTCATCCACAAGATCAGGAGGTACTATGAGCACGCAGAGGACCAGGATGCTAACTTCAGCATCAAGCGCCGGGAAAGTCTCTCCTACATCCCTGCAGGTCTGGTTCAACACCTGAGCCGACAGCTGAACAGTATTCCTCAGGAGCAGGCCGTCCCAGTGCACAGAAAGGGCCTCTCTCGGAACCGACCCACTTCCTGGTCTGTGTTCGACCTTCCTGGATTAGAAAAGAGTCGAAACACTGAAACTCGTCAGAAAACCGAACCGCAGAGAGCAGCGGAGGCCATGGCGAGACCTCAGTGCATCAGTGAAGCCTCAACCACAGAGGAAGAAGAGTTCAGAAGCTCAGAAGAAATGATCAAGGTTTGGCAGGACATGGAAATGGAGGAGGAGAACCAGGACGTCCAGCAGATAGAAGAGGAGAACGTTAATGACTTGAGATTAGAAGAAACACAGAATACAAGCTTAGACACTTCAGATGTTAAAAGCAGCGAACAAGCGCCTCAGATTTTAGAAGAGTCTGAAACATGCACTGCCTCAGTCGCATCACCCACCACAACCTCTCCACCGACAGAGGGACGATCTACACCGAGTAAAACTGCTCTATCGCAAGAGAAGAACCACTTCAACCACAACCAGCTGCCGAAGATCATCAGCTTCCGAGCCAGTCTGGATGAGGACCAGATCCTGCACGACATGGGAAAGATGAAAAACAAGGTGTTCCAGCTGGCTCGTCAGTACAGCCAACGCATCAAAAACAACAGACCTATCGCGTGGCAGAGGAACCGAGAAACAGCCGATCAACAGGGCTTGAAGAGCGTGTCTGCTGTCCACGAGGAGAAGGTGCAGCTGAGGAAAAAGGGTAAATAGGAAGCAGTGGATTGCTTTCTCTTGCAGTAACATATCATTTAAAACTGATTCTCTGTATGTTTGGGTTTGTGTGTGTGTGTGTGTGTGTGTG